TATGCTTCTGCGCATTTGCCGACGATGACCAACAATAAAATTTTTGCCGATCGATTTTTGCTGACAAGTTAACAACATAAAACCTGCGGTACCAATTCGCTACGGTTCATTCGCGGTTCATACGATCAGCTCAATAGCTGTGGTTAAACACTTCTACAAACGAACTATACCGATGATCGAGGTACACACAAAAGTTATCATGAAGAGTCAGATACTATGTTTTTTTTTCCCGGTCGTATATTATTATATCGTGCTTTTCACGCGCAATTTCATCCGCAAAGGACCAAAGGGTCCGCTAATTTCGTCCTGCTCGATTTTACGCATCACGATCGTACTTAGCCTGATGAATGATCCGTATTGATTGCAAGTTATTATGTCCGTCAATGAAAAAAGACGCCAGCTCGCAGCTCTTATTGTATTCTCAAGAATAAATATATCTTATATCAACGACTGGTTGTGAGTATGAGAGCAAGGGAGATCTATATATGAAGGTAATTTAGATAATCTATTACATCGACAACGCAAACTTAACAGATTACTCGTACTTCCAAAGATTGTACCTACACGCATATAGATGCTAATTTGCCTGCCGTTAAACACTTTCTCATTAAATCGCGATCGGAAAAAGCGACTGTTTTTTCAATATAAAAAGACTCGGTTTTTTTCATCTCCATTGAGAGTTTTGTTTTTTATTTACCTATAACATTGCCTGTCCGTCATATAAGAGTTATAAGCGTGGCTTCCTCTCATACCTTTTCTTATATCTTTCCATATGTGCGTGATGCGCACGAGCGCAGAAGGGTTATCCTCCCTCTCATCCCTATCATGATATTTTATCGATTACGGTCGCTCTCTTACGATATAACCGGTACTTTTTTTCTCTCCGCTCTGGAGTCCCTTCTTATGTGAGAATGAAAGGAGAAGAAAAGAAATTGCGCACGCTTTCTTTGCTTGGTCTTTTTCTCTCATTCCTCATTTACTCGACCTCTTCTTTTCAATCTCTTCTGCTCCTTTTGTCGAAACATTTGGGTCCATAGATTTCGTAATTATCGTGAGCAAACAATGCTTCGAGTAATCATATCTTCGTGTTCTATTGTAGAATGTTAATACTCACATATAATTGCTGCATGCAAGTTATTATTACGCTCAATGTTATTAACGGAAAATACGATGTTTGTGATAATTTTCAGTTAATGAGACATTTTCCACCCGTCGATCACTAAGAATATTATCGGTTTTCGGATTGATTTCGATAGTCTGCTCTTAGAAGAATAATTTTGCACTCGTGATAATGCTTTGTGTGGCAGTGTCGCATAGAAAAACAGCTCGCTATGACTTCAAATACGAAATCAATTATAAAATTCCACGTAAGGCTCTCTCTATTAAATGGCATTCCACTATGATCGAATCAAGTTTGTTACGGATGAGAAACGATACAATTACTTCGAGTATTCATCCGATCAAAATTCTGAGAATAAATTAACATTCTTTACTCCTCATAAAAAATAAAACGAGTAAATACGATTAAAAATAAAAAAATCACATGATGATGATTATATTATATCCACATTCATTAGTATTATCAATATCTAATTTGTGTTGATAGTACAATATTTATTAATTTGTATACAGATTTGATACAACAAAGATCGATATTTAGTTGATTACTATTTACCATATAGTACCATATAATTATAACTTTAGAAGTTTTTAATTTTTTATCAATTTATATTTAATTTTCATAAAAATCAAGACTTTAATTTCTGATTCACGAAACGCAATTGTAAATCATATTTTATTTGAATAATGTCAATTTAATGATTATACATGTTTTTTTGATTTCTTTATAATAAATTTATATTTTATACGCGTATACAAACTATACATAGATAAAATTCTACTTAATTGCTATTTTATTCATGTGTATAAATTTAGACAAATGAGAATTACAGTGTATTATTTCATGAAGAATGCATTAAGTATCCGCCAATTTCAACAGCCTATATTAATTCATAAATAATGAAATGTCAAACGAATTTATGCATGTAATCTTGTTGCTGAAATCACTTAATGGCTTATCTGTATCATAAGATCAGGTAAAAGCGTAAATAATTCCTATAGAAGCATATAATATATGTACAAGAATTTAATAAAATCAATTTTTTAATTAAAAACTGCATAGCAGATCCGATGAAATAGCGATAAATTAAATTATATTCTTTTCATATAAATAAATAAATATCTGAGAGAAGGACAAAAATTTGGGTATGCAATACATTTGTACTATTTATGAATGTTGGCGCAAAATTATTGTTAACAAGTGTAAAGTTTTATACTAATTGAAAATATAGTTGTTTTATTAATTATCTTTTTAGCAATGAACAAAATTAACAAACTCCTATTTTAATCAATCAACTCGCAGGATGGTAATTAATTCAAATTCAGTTAGAATAATGTGAGAATGTACATCATGATATATCTTCTGTAATGGAGAAATACACGAGTTATGGTTGAAATTATTTTTTACAGCGCGACCCTCTCGTGTGCGATAATCTCATTTATACAAACAGAAACGCCTAACAATAAACAAAACCGTAATACTTTTAAGTATTTTGAAACAATGGAACAGTGCCTGGTATTTAACCAAACGCGAGGGCTGCCCTGGAGTATTAACTTATGGAACAGAAATAACAGCTTTCTCTCCCTCTCCCCTTTCGCAGAGAAACTAAAATAAGCCAGGAAATGCAGGATTGTCTGCAACATATGTGGCCGGGTATACCTGACAGAGTGCTTTTCGCGTTGGAAATTTCTATAGACGAATATACAGTGCGAGATTAGTGGAGAACACGCGCATTTATTTGGCCAACATCTCAAATTGTTTATTCGGCATAAGCCTATAACCTTTTGTTTCGCAACAATGGAAGTAAGTTTCTTAAGTTTGAAATTCAAGAAAGATATCAGAATGTTGATAAGTTATTTTATTTTTTATATGTTGGAATCGTGCGAATAACGAACTTTGTAATTACTACGTTGGCATGATGATACTTGTTAAGAGGATACCTTTTAACATGCAATAAACAAAGTAATAAACAAATTAAGTGCAGCTAATATATAATTCGAAGAAGATATTTAATTAGAATCTATTACTTGCACCAATGAAAAAGTTGATAAAGCAAATAAATGATAAAGCAGCCAACAAAATAAATTAATAAAACGGAAAATATTTGTTTACCATTTGTTTACGTAAATGTACATAAATAAATGAAATAAATAAAGCAGTAAATAAGCGAAGCACGAAACTGATTCCTTATATTTTCATAAAATACAAAATGTGATTTTATTGGAAAGCAATCGCAAGTGCAATGCTAAATCTCGCATCGTTTGCAAGTATAACGCTGGTTAAATTTTAAATTCTGACAAGTTACACGCGTATTCTATGTACAGACTCGGAAGAATGTACACATAGAATCAAAGGAATTAACATAACCCATTG